ATCGATAAATTCCCTAAACTGATATTTAGGTGGTCTATACATACCATATATTTGCAGATTTAAAGATTTTAAGAAAACTGCCATTAAATTATATTGATCAGAACCATCAACTTTTTCTATCACACTGAAATCAATATGTTCACAAATATATACCGAAACACCTCCAGCTCCTCCTTCTCTGCAGGAATGAACAGCCACAAATCCATCTAGATAAAAAAATTGAACTTCATTCTCAGACAGCCATGTCTCCGTCAATACCAAGATATCACAGCCATTTGTTTTTATAAAACAATGTAGTTCGTTCAAGTTATTACGCAAACTTTGCATATTAGCATAACAAATGTGAAGTTTGTTTGCCAGCCTAAGAACCAGTTTTTCAAGTCATCTTCGTCATTAATCAGGTTAACTTTGCTACCTTCGTCCTTCTTCAGGAAAATGTTTCCATCCTTGACCCAGATAAACCTGAAATTGTGTTCCTTTCTGAAATTCCTAGCCTTTTTATATAGCTCCTGTTTTCTCTTTGTAAGGTTCAATCGATGGGTTATCGAAACCGAGATCTTTGGTAGTAATTCTCTTTTTTCTGGTAACTTGCCAAAACTTCTCCTTACTTTGTGGATTTTCAAAACAGACTTTTATTGGTGCTGGATATTTGGATCCTTTCCCAAGCCTATATACTCTAAGATTTTTATTTTCCGTCTGTATACTACCCATTTTTTTCACGATCTCCATTAGGTTTTCTACACTTTCTGATTCCGGAATTTCCTTAATAATAATGTTGTTATTTAGTTCCTTCTGTTCCCTGACATCAATTTCATGGTTTAGTTGTTTTTTCAGGTCTCTTATTTCGTTTTGTAGTGCTTTATTGACATCGATTTGTTCTTTGTATTTGATCATTAAATCAGAGTAGTTTTTATCCATTTCAAACAATTTATTCTTCATTTCATTTACAGCTATCATTACATCGTTAAGGGTACATTGTCTACCTGAATTTTCATCCAGTTCGTCTTCATTATCCAGTTTTTTTCCTTTGTTGTGATTATCAGTCGACATAACCTCCAAATTACCAGATTATTTGCACATCCATCTTTTACCATTTTCGCTTTTGAGTTCCGTGTTATAGTAATTAAGTTGCTGCGCCGACATTTGTATACACTTCGAATGATGCCATTTTGAACACTTTGTGCACAAAATAGATGAACTATTGCATTTAGCACTACAGATGCCACAGTTCACGTCCTCACTCGACGCCATCTTTAATAATCTTATTATTCATATTTCATTACGCTACAGCTGATTTCATGGTTGAACCTGCCCCACTTTCCCCTATACGTGAGTTCAGATCTTTTTTGGAATCGATAACTTATTATGGACGTTTTATAACAGATTTACATGTTATTTGCGTTCCATTATACAGAAACCCTGAAAAACAACTCAACATTCAAGTGGACAGTTGATGATGAAAAATGATTCCATGAATTAAAGAACATCCTTAGTTCATCAGATACTCTGGTACGTTTCAATCATGAATTGCCAGTAGTAGTTACAAGTAATGCGAGTTCAAAGGGTATTGGGTCAGTCTTATTCCACGACTTCCCTAACAAACAACTCAAACCAATTGCTTATGCTCCACACATTTTGAGTGATGCAGAAACCCAATATTCCACTACAGATAAAGTAGGAATCGTGTTTGCAGATACAAAATTCCACCTTTATCTATATGGAAGACATTTTACACTATTAACAGACCACAAGCCTCTAGAAAGAATATTTAGTAAATACCATGAAACACCAAAGATTGCTAGTAATAGACTTCTCAGATAAGCCATGACATTGAATAGCTATGATTTTGACATAACGTACCAGCCAGGTAAAGAAAATGCACCTGCAGGCGCATTATCACGTCCTGATACAAAAGCATCACCTTTGGAAGAAGCTGGACTACCTAAAAGAAGTCAATTTCTGCATCTTAGACTACACCACCATTCATCACAAAGAAAGTTTTACAGTCAAAAATATCGAGTGATGTTATTCTCATCAGAGTTATAAGATACATACAATCCCGTTGGCCTGATAAAAGACAACTACCTAACGAAATTCTTCCGTAATTCGAAAAACGTGAGGAACTTTTGTTTGAAGAAAATATTCTTCTTTAGAAAGGAAGAATATGTATTCCAGAAGTACTTCAACGTGAGGTATTGATGATGCTTTATGATGGACACCCTGGTATAACTGCCATGCAGTCCAGTGCATGTTTACATGTGTACAGGCCGAACGTGGACAATGACATCGTAATTTTCGTTAAAACATGTACTCCTTGTCAAGAATCTAAACAAAATGATCAAAAACTTCCATTTTATCCATGGAGTGCTCCTTCAGAACCATGGTCGCGTGTGCATATAGACTTTGCCGGACCTTTCAAAGAAAAAATGTGGCTAATCATAGTAGATGCTTATACACGCTGGCTAGAGATTTTTCCGATATTATCAACAATAAACGAGTTTCGTGAAGAGTTTTCGAGATTAGGTTATCTGAAAATAATTGTCAGATAATGGTCTTCAGTTAACTGCTGAAGAGTTCGGATTATTTTGCAAGAGAAACGGACTTGCAGAAAGAGCAGTGAAGACTTTTGAAGATCGCATGTCAGCTAGTGGACAAGAGAAGAATCAATATGAACGTTTACGAAGTTTCTTGATGACTTATCGTAATACTATACAACGTTCAATAAGCAGGGCTCCAAACGAATTGATGTTTGGATGAAATTTATGCATTCTGTTCGAGCAATTGAAACCTGACTTATTACAAAACATTGATAAAGCTACACTTGATCAGAAACGAATTCATAATCGTGGTTCAAAGGACTCGATATTCAATCCTAATCAGACAGTTTGGATGAATAATCCACTTGGTAAAGGATCCACACCAGGAACAGTATTGGATCAAACTGGACCTTATTCATATATTATTGAGGTGAATGGAACGACAAAAAGAAAGCATGGAGACCAGTTAAGACCTCGTTTAAATCAACCTAACCAAGTGAAACAAAAACAGGAACAGGCTAAGAATTCTGAGAAACCTTTCATACACATTCATTCTTTGTTTTGTTTTTGGTAGGGATAAATTCCTTCAGTTGTTATTCATATTAATATAGTATTTTGTGATGCAAGTCATTATTCTTATGTAACAGCCATTTTTTTTAGATCTGAATATAGTGTACAGTTGGTTGAAGCCAAATCTCGAGTTTCTTCTATTTATTCAATTGACATACCTCGCCTAGAATTATTGGCAACCATCCCGTGGGTTGGGTTATCTATCGGGCAAGTCCCCAGGTGGCAGATAGGGGAACGGCCAGGGGACTGGGGGCCCTGTCCGGGAAGCCAATATGTTTACGGACGGGATCGCCGGACTCCTGGTCAGTGGCAGAAATAAGTATGGTGAGGGGAACTGAAACTCCCCAAAAGCCTTTGCGAAACATGCCACCGTGGACCAGCCTACCCAAGCTAAGGTGTAAGGAATCGTTCCGACAGCTGAATGGCCGCAAGGTTACGAACGATCCCCTTGGGGAACCGGAAGAAACCTTGAACACCTCCATTAGGGGAACCCCAGAAAGGTTGAAAAAGCCGCGCAACGACAGTAATGTTGCTGGACCTTCCAAAACCTTCGAGGAGGCCGCCGTGAGATACCTCAAGGTTGCCAAAGAGAGCGTGTGTTCGGCGAGTCTTGGCCTACACCTGCTGATATAAAGAAGATGTTTCCTAGTGACCTGTCCACCTTCCTGGAAAGGACAGGATGGACGATGACCTATGAGGACAACTCCTCAGAAGGATGTACAATGGGTCACATGTGGCCTAAGTGCTGTGGGTATACACTCACCCTCCCTGCTATATACATACATACATACATACATTGGCAGCCATGATTGGAACAAGATTATGGAAGACACCAACTGAAAATAGTCATCGGGTGTATCAGTTTTTTGGTGGACTGATTCGATAACTATTTCAGCATGGATTCAAAAACAAGATCATTGGAAACCTTTTATATGGAATCGGGTAGAAGAAATACGAAAACTTGCCAAAAAGGAAGCATGGTTTCATCTTTCAGGTGACTCTAATCCAGCCGATCTTCCTTTCAGAGGATGTTTTCCAAAACATTCAATTGAATCAAAACGGTGGAAGGGTCCTACATGGCTTGAAAAATCTTCTGATGATTGGCCCACACAAAATTATATTGTCGAAGAAGATATGGTCAATAGAGAGAAAAGAAGATGTATTACTTCTTCAATATCATATTCTCGACAAGATTATTCTTGGTACCATGAATGATTTTGTGGATTCGAAAAAATTATTAGAATTTTATGTTGAATACAAAGATTTATTTTCAACTGCTCACATAAAAATGGGAAGAATGAAAGTCAACTGATGTTGCAAGAATTGATTTCTTCCGAAAATTGACTTATAAAATTGTTCGCGTTTTTCTCCTGAGAATAGCCACAGGTACTTCATAAAGACCGCTACAAAGAATCTATTCACTGGTAACTAATTGTCGAGAAGATGAAATAGATTTGAAAGAGGCACATAGAATTGAAGAACAAAAAGGAAAGATTCAGCAGAAAAGAACCAAAGATCCCAGAGAAACCAATGAAGATGATTTTCTATCCAGACCTGATGACGAATCTGTTGTAGTCACGAGGTGTGGTGGAAAAGTTAAACCCCCATCAAAGTTAACAATTTGAAATTTGAGTTGAGTTACCCTACTCAAAATTTGTAACTCAAGGTGGGAAGTATGTTGTGAAGTGAGTCAAGGTTTTTAAAGGAAGATTTTAAATTTTATCACCCATGGCGTTTCACATTTCCTTTTATTTTGGAGAAGACTTGAAAAACGCTTCCGATAATACACTGTGGAATGACAAAAAACGACAGCATGCCCTCTCAGTCAATCCCGGGACAATTCTGATGGCATTTTATAATACAAAGGGCATATATTTAAAGTACATATCTCACCTTTATCTCAGGGCAAATCCCTATTAGTGCATCGGCATGTGAATAAAACTCCTCTTTTAAAGAAATAACAATTGTTTGTAAAGACTCTGTCTTCTCTCTGATATATTTCGCCACTTTGCCAATATTTGTGTTATCTAAAGCTGCATCCACCTCGTCCAGCACAAAAAATGGAGCAGGTTGATAACTGTGGATGGCAAACAGTAAAGCTAGTGCAGCTACAGTCTTTTCCCCTCCTGACAAATTAGACATTGGCTGGAAACGTTTTCCTGGAGCTACACAGTTGTAGTTTATTCCATCCAAATAGGGTTCTTCGGGATTTTCGGCACCCAAGAATGCCTGAGCAGACTGATTTTGAGCCAATGCCTTGTATATGTTGTCAATTTCATTAGAAACGTGATCAAAACATTTTGTAAAGCGCTCATATCTTTGTTGTTTGATTCTTTCGAAAGCAGCCTTTGATTTATTGTTCTGCTTCTGGAGTTTTTGGAATTCTTCATTGGTGGATTGTAATTTTCCACAAGCCAACTGAAGTTTTTCTATGGCTTTCATGTTAGGTGCCTGAATCTTGGTGAGTGTGTCTTGTAGGTTATGAATGGATTTCATGAGCTTGTCAGCCATCTTTTTGATTTCATCTTTTTCTTCGAGATCTTTCAGATTATCTGATAAACTTTCATAATCAATTTTTATTCTGGAACAAATAAAATATCAAAGTCTGAAGGTCAAGTTATGCTTGTAGTTACCTTGCCTCTTTTTCATACTGATGAATGGTGCTATTAGTATCTGCTCCCGAAGAAGATTGGGAAGGGTCACCTGCAGCAATATCTTCCATATTACCAACTATCATAGGTATGGCTATATCATCCATCTGAAATTGACATGACAACCTAGAGATAGAGCTTTGAATAGAATATTTCAAAATGATTTAAAATAAACTTCAGTAAAGGAAAGTGAAACCAGCTAATCAAACATTTGTTGTTCATGAAGGTATTACCTTCTTGAAAAGATGTAGAGACAGAATTCAATACAAATTCTTCAGAAAGTTTTCAACACTTTGTTGAATATGAAGTTTATGTGGTTGCAGACTCATATGAAAAGTCTACACAAAATCTACATGAAAAAGGTAACACAACTATATACTGCAACTGACTTTTTAAATAAGAATTATGTTATTTCAACAATAAAGTATGTTCTGATTTTGATATACTCTGAAGAAATTCGAAACAAGCACTTTTCCCAAAAACCAGAAATGCAATATTCTTTTAGAAACACGTTTCTCCAACCGAGTTGGCGTCTTCAGGAGATGAAGAAAACTACTAGTCAACTCAGTGGCGGATCAACACATTTGCCGCCAGTAGGCTATTCAAATTTAGCCGCTCCTTCTGATCTCTGCATTTCGATACCCTACACGGACAAAAGACGGTGGACCAAAATATTTTAGAATTAAAAGACTAAAAAATGATTTTGATTTTAAAAAAATTCATATCTTATGAAAAATTAAGAACCGATTACAATCATTCTAAACCTGTAGTACATTTTCTAAACTTATTCTAAACGAGTTTAGTAAATTTTCTGAGTTTCAAAATGATGTTAAAAAAATATGTTTATAATCTGTTTTTAACATCATTGGATTCCAAAAATAACTGTACAGTTTCTAAACAATTGGTATACTCATCACAATTATTAAACTATATAAGAATACTTGTACTAATTTTTGATAAATGATTGACAAATTATGTATACAACCCACTAAACACTTTTAATTAGAAATTGCAAGACGCAATTATCCAAGGTGACTTTCTCTCTTGCTCCCGAACTCAGTGCTGCCACACGTAACGTAACGTTCGGCTCCCTCGGCGATCCAACCGCTCACCGCGCTTTCATTTTGGCCAGACACTCTTAGCGAATGATCGTCATTTGTTCCCGCACGTCCCGCACCGCACTCCAAATAAGACTACCAACACAAATCTGTTTTTCCGTTAATCAGCTGTCGCCCCCATACGAACGACAACTATCAGAAGTTGAGAAACTTGTGCGAGCTAAGGACTAACGAGGTCTTACCTTTTAACGTTTGATTCCTAACTCTGTTGCAGAATCATCCCAGCTTTAACCTGATAAATTCTCTCGAGAAAAATATCTGGTCGAGACAGGAATCGAACCCACGGTCTTCCGATTGTGAGTCGGGCGCACTACCACCGCGGCCAATTCCAACGTAGTATAAAAAAAGTATTAGCAGATTGACAAACGTTAAATTCCCCACTTTGACAGGTTCAGTTAAGTGGTGGAACCTAATGGTATTTAGGTATTTATTTATTTTTTATTTCTGTAAGACAAAAAAAATGTTTGGCACAAATTTGCCGCCCTCGAAAATCCGCCGCCCTAGGCTCAAGCCTACTAGTGAATCCGCCACTGAGTCAACTCTAGAACTCTCAATTAATATCTAACGGGATACACTTTCACTTATCACACTTTTTGAGGAGACCCTTAATGTAGTCTCCGAAATACATAAACTGTCCTTCTCATGTGGAAAATATGTGTGTGAGACGCTTGTTATCTTGGATGGACAAGGTTTCAGTTTTCTATTGATCCTATAGATAAATTTTCGTAAGGGGAGATGCAATGCATACTTATACTCAGACTTGCCTTTCGAATAGTTAAAAGGTAAAACTGAAATCTCTGGCATAAAATATATCCAAAATAAGATCTTTTTCCAGAACTGCAATACTATTCTCGACACACGTTTCACCAACCACCAAGTTGGCGTCTTTAGAAGATGAAGTAATTTTTTTACTAATGCTATTGCATTATTTCATTTTTGTGTCCTATAATGTATGTCTTTTTATCTTAATATATGTTAGGTTAGGTCTTAGAGTACTTCAGATAGGATTGTGTATATGTTATTAGACTATATCTGTATATACTAGGATAAATTAATATCAAAAGTTGAGTCAGCTTCCTCTTGGGGATAACAAATCTCTTGATTGACATTAGATAATAATGACATATTAAATTATATTATAAAATATTGTAGGAGTTAAAAAATATGCAAGATTCTTGAAATTGTTCGAAATAGGAATTACTGAAGAAAAAACTAACCTTGCACTGCATAAGAATAGTATGCCTTTCACTTTTCTTACTCTCAATCTTGCCTTCAAGGGAAACCGTTGATTTCTGAGCAGCCTGCACATCCTTTGCAACAGATCCAACTTCTCTTCGGGCTTTGCCAACTTCTTCTTCAGCAGCTTCTACTTCCTGTTTCTTGTTCAATTTCAAAGCTTTCAACTGCTCTACTTGCTGCAAATCTTTGTCGATTTCATCTCTCTGTTTTGACTCCTGTTTCTTGCATGTTTCCAGTTTTTCCTCCTCATCATTGACAGTGCGTTCCCAACGACTCACATTGTCTGTAAAGTATTGAATAGTTATGAATTATTACTCAATTATTTTTATTGACATATTTTGCTTTCCTATGTCCAAAGAATATGGACTTTTTCTTAGAAAATTGACATCTGCTATGCTGATCCACTCAATAAATATGAAAACTACATCACTACAAATAATTCTGTCATCAAATCAGCATGGCTTCATATCGGCTTGGAAACTGCCAAAATAGAAACTAGGGTATTAGTGGCCAACATCGTCAACGAATTCATTTTCGGACTAGGCATCAAGTTCCCCTACGATTTCGTGGTGGACATAAGAAACAAATTATTGAAGGTTGGAAACGAGGGAAATTTTACGTTGTGTCTTCAGAAGGAGTTGAAATAAATCCAGAGAAAATCAAGGCAGTGCAAGAATGGCCAACAGCGAAGACCAAACACAATGTAATAAGTTTCCTTGGACTCCGTAGCTATTACCGGCGTTTCGTGAAGGACTTTGTAAAATTACCAAACCGTTGCAGAGCTCAACTGAAAAGAGAACACCCTTTGTTTGGTCCTCAGATTGCCAGCAAGCATTTGCTACCCTGAAGAGAAATTTGACCAGCGTACCGATCCTGGCATACCCAAAAGAGGAGGGCTTGTTTATACTGGACACGGATGCATACCAACATGGAATAGGAGCAGTACTTTTCCAGAAACAAGATGAAGAAGTTGTCATCAGCTATTTTGGTAAGTCCCTGGGAACATCCGAAAGAAATTAATGCGTCAGGAGAAAATAACCCACAGTGATCAAAGCGATGGATCACTCCCACTCCTTTTTATATGGTCGTAAATTTTTGATCAGCTCAGACCACTCAGCACTTTGGTGACTTTTCAACTTCAATACCTCAGAAGGACAAATAGCCAGGTGGATCGAAAAGTTACAAATTTACGATTTCGAAATTCAACATGGAAAAGAAAAAAGTCACGGAAAAGCAGATAGCCTCTCAAGAAAACCATGCTTGACATCCGGATGCAAATTCTGCCAACGCCTGGAGGAATGGGAAAGCCCGGATGGAAGAACCCACAAATCCCAGATAATCCTTCCAAAGATAGGTATCCCGAATATCCTCAAACAGCTCCACGATAGTAAATGATGATTTTATTGGGAATAAAGAAGACAAGAACAAGCTCTTCGCCCACAATCCGATGGAATGAAGGTGCATATTTACCAAAAAAGCGAGCACGATCAAGCATGAGCGTGCATTCGTGTATGTTTGCTCGTGCTCGTTCATGTTCGCTCGTTCTCGCTTTTTTGGTGAATACGCACCTTGATATACTGCCTTCTTCTCGATCTTTTCTGAACGCGAACAAGCATAAGTTCGCTCGCTCGCTAGCCCGTACTCACCAGACGATTATTGATGCAGAATGCTCCTTCACTCTTGTTCGCTCGTGCTCGCTTTTTTGGTGAATACGTATCTTAAGAGCGCGCGAATGTACGATTTTTGCTGCGGTTCTAGATGCAGCGAGAATAATGCTACCGACTTCGATGGAATTCCTAGGAATGTTCCAGCGCCTTCGATTGCCAAATATAAGCGCCATCCACTCGCTCATTGAGACAGTCAAGTAGACGTGACAGTGCGGTACGCGAAGCGATCTAGTAAGGCGATAGACATTCGAATAATAGTTGAAGTTTTAGTTGAAGTGTTTGTTGCATTTAAGGTAAAATGAAGTTAAGTTTGTTTATTGTTCAGTGTAGTCAGTTATTGGCCAACCCAAGGGGAAAACGTAACAATATAAAAGCAATATCTAGACCTCCTTATAATTCTCAATTATCTTTCAATGATCAGTTGAAGGCATTTTTCATGAAATGTCAAAAGTAAATTTCTTATGATATAAGGATTATAAATGGGGATATCAATATCAGGTCATTATCATCTTACTTTTTTTAAATAAATCAATATTGTGTATGAAAACGGTTTTCATTCATTTATAAAATTATACTATACAATAATGAACAGAAATCGATATTCATAAAAAGTAAAGAAAATAGGAATTTATGCCAATAATTTTTCAATACTAAGTTACTGATAATTACCTATACTATAATATTTCAGTATAAGTTAAATACATATCTGTGCGAGCAAAGGATTGATCTTTTAATGTGCGATCCCCAGCACGGGATGGACGATAGGCAGATAAAATGAATTGTCTGGCCTCTGGGCTCGAATCACCGTTTCACCTATCGGTCGATTGAATGAGTGGAATAAACCACTCACGCCAACTCAACCGGCTACCATCTCGGCCATTAATGACTTACTGCTAGTTCCTGTATGTTCGTCTGTGTGTAGGCAGGTTGAGACCCTTACAGAGACATGCGACAGGAACTGGAGAATAGATAGATTGAGACCCAACACCCTGACTGCAGAAACCTTTCCGAACACACACGCACGCATACACACACACGCCTACATTATATAAGAAAATGTTTCAATAATTATTTCCTCACAAATGTGTGAGGACACATAAATGACTTGAAGAAATCAAAGTCAATGCTTTAGTGTAACAAAGTTAGTGAAGCTAGTAAAAAAAGTGTAGAAACTTGGCAAAATATTAATGAAGTTATTAAAAAAAAACACTTCATTGTGAGGTTTTCACTGAAAACTTTTACAAAAACACAACACGTGTTTCGCCATACATTGGCTTCTTTGGGCGTGTCTTTACTAACTCTAATTAGTTAACCCTAGTTTAGTGAAAATCTCACAAAAAAGTGTTTTTTGAATATGTTATGGATTTTTATCAAGTATCGGCCAAATCCATCATATATATTAATGAATTTAAATGAATTGAATAAAAACACTTTTGTCTAAATGAATGTGAGAAGTTCTCCTAAATCATGTTTAAAACTTCCTGGCACAAATTGTTAGACCTTTAAATGAATTTCAACAATAGAAAAATTCAACTAGTCATTGAACAAACGGTGTAAGTGTTACTCACTGTTCATACATTTTGCTTGTTATTGTATGAGAATATGTTTCCAGTATTATATGAGATAAACTTACTTTGAGTATCTCGGCTTCGTTCAAAATCCAAATTACTGGAAATTCTATTAATTTGTTTTTCAAATTCCAGTCTCTTCTTCTTCCTTTCTTCTTGAGCCCGAAGTTCTCTGTCTTCATACTGTCTTATGTTACGAACTCCAATTTCTCTGCAAAAGTCAGAGAAAACATCATCCTCAAGGCAGTTCATTTTTAACTTGATCTCTTCAATTTGTTGTTCACGTGTTTGCATGCTTTTTTCTATGAGCTCGATTTGAGGTCCATACTTTTTCATATCTTCATTGAGGCGACCTAACTCACGCTCTACTATGTTTATTTGTTTTTTCTGAAACAATATAACTCCAGTATAGTTGTTGATTGCTGAATTTTTCATCTACTCACAGTACTTTCCATATCAGTTTTAGCATATCTCAACCTGGTTTCCAAACCTCTTATTTGGGAATCAACCGTATTTAGTTCAGATTCCTTTCGAGATTTTTTCATTGATTCTCTTAGTTCGTCAGTTAATTTTTCCTAAGAAATGAAACAAAATAAATTATTTCAATATTTGTGGCAACAACAAAAAAAGAGATATGAAAAATAGTTACCTTTTGAGCTTTGAGCTGAGCCATATGTTTTTCGTCCCATCTTTTGGCTTTCCTGGCAAGATCCAGACTACCACCAGAAATAATTCCAGATTTCTGGTAGTATGTTCCATCTAAAGCAACTGCATCTAATCTACCACCAAGTTCATATGCAACTTTCATGGCATCTTCAGGGGTTTCACAAACTAAGGCATTATTTGTAGCAAACATCACTGCTTTTGCTATGGCTTGGGGCTCAAATTGAAGTACATCGAATATTAATTTCACACCCTTAGGTTCAGTTATGCTTCTTAACCTCTCCTTGACTGGTTTTACCTGAAGATAATCAAGAGGTAGGAAGGTTTCAGGCTCCAGCATTTGTTCTTTGAGATATTTAATGCACTGCCTTCCAGTGTGTTCAGTGTCGACAACAATGGCATCCATATACTTTCCAAGGTTTTTGGTAATGGCTACATTATACCGTTTGTGGATTGGATGACACATGTTGATCATTCTATCGTACTGAAATCATACAAGTCATTTTTGAAATTAATTATTAAATATGGCCCATAAACAAAGTAACATTTTGACTTTTTTTTCAAATTGTATTCCAAAAATTTCTAAAACTTACAACTCCGGGATAATTACTCTTGAATCTCTCAACTATCTCTTGTTTTTTCTTTCTTCTGGCATCTTCGTGCTTATCAGTTCTAGCATCTCCCAGTTGCTCTGCAACATCATCCAATTGTTTTTGAATTTCATGGACACGGTGCTTGGAAGAACCAACATCAGACTGCAAATCTTCCCTCAATTGTCTTTGATCTTGAAGAGCCTGTTCACTTGATCTACAAAAAAAAAATAATTAGTATAAAAGTGGTTTGCAAAAAAAGGCATTACTTTATGTGCTCGGCTAATTTCTCAATTCGCTTCTCCATTTCCTCTTTCTCGTGAAGCTTCTGCCTATGCTTGTTTTCAGCATCTGTTCTCATTCTAGATACATTATCCAAACGATCTTGGTCTGCTTTTTGCTCCCTATTAACGGAGTCCAGTTCTTGCATGTATCTAGCAGATCGTTTGGCTGCTTCTTCTTTCAGTCTATGATATTCTCTCACCTATAATGTAGCAATATTCATAGTCATCAAGTCTAGTCTGACCAGTGAACTTTGAATGAGCAGCTGATTGTAAGACTAGTCCTGACGCACAGTAACACATGTTTCAGAATCAGAATCATTTATTTCATTCATAGGCCCTGTTGGGCATAGAACATGTCAATTATAAAGTTACATTACAAACAACTTAACAAGTAAAAAAGTTCAAAAATAATTAACACATAATTTATATTTTGTCCCCTTCAAAGTATTCCCCACCAGATAAAATACACGTGTGCCGGCGTTTTTCCCAATTCTCGAAGCAGTTCTGATATACACTTCTTGGTATGTCCTTGAGCTCTCTCAGCGATTCGGTTTTATCTCCTCAATCATGGCAAAACGCTTAGGGACAGGAAGAAGTCGCAGGGGATCAAATCTGGTGAATACGGTGGGTGAGGCATGATTATGTTGTTGTTTTTGGACACACAATTGTTTTTCCAGAATACCGGACGTTTTCTTCGTATTGCTTCTCGCAAGTGCGCATAACTTCAAGATAATACTCATTATTGACCGTACGACTATGTGGCAAGAAATCCTGATGTACTACGTCACGGTAATTGAAGAAAACAATAAGCACAACCTTGATATTTGATCGAACTTTGCGTGCTTTTTTGATCTTTGTTCCTGGTGCTTTTTTTGATCTTTGATCCTGGGCTCTTCCATTGGGACGATTGAACGTAGGTTTCGATGTCATAAACCATGACTTGCTTTTTGAGCAAATCTGGATCGCCGTTGACGTCATTCAACAACTCCTGAGCGATGCTCATGCAACGGTTCTTTTTTGGTCAAAATTCAGCAATTTTGGAACCCACTTCTCTGCCATACGCTTCATCATGCTTCATATGCCGACATTATCAGCAGCTTCTCTAATAGTGATTCGACGATTCTCCATAATCTTTTTTTTCACTTTTTGAACATTTTCATCGGTTATTGATGTGCTGGGGCGTCCAGGGCGAGTGTCGTCATTTACATCTTCTCGACCTTCTCTTAAAAGCTTGTAACACTTGTAAACATATTTCTGAATAAAAGTACAATCAACACATGACACTGTCAACATTTCAAGTGCTTTTCAGCACTTAACTACATTTTTTACACAAAATTTGATGCAAATTCTCTGATCCATTTTTTTCAAAAATTGCCGAGCACGTAAAACATTTCCTACTTTTATGCATCTCACCAACAAACAAAAAACGCAAAACATCTGAAACTGTGAACATATCTACGAGACGAGTGTACTAACATAAAAAATATTTAAAAATCGCTAATCGAATGTACATAGCTCGCGAAATTAGAATATTAACTTTTTATTTTAACGGATCTTGTATCTTCCTTGTTCCGAAGTTTCTCTATACCAAAACCCATTCAATATTTATTCAATTAACACTTCATTGCTAGATTTTCACTAGACAATTTACAATATCTTTTTCGAGCGTTTTCATACTGAAAATGTTGAATATGAAAACGCCTGATAAAGCTATTGTATAGCGAAACACATGTTGCAGTTTTGTAAACTGTTTAGTGGAAATCTTACAATAAAATGTTNTGTAAAGTTTCTCAACTATAAGGAAGCCACGAACTTATGATTTTGGACTATCTGACTATTATATATTAAACTGAGAAACATGACTGAAAGTATTAAAGATTGAGTAAATTTTATTGGGCTGTAAGCACCTTCAGAAAAGAAAAAAGATTATTTATATTCAGGCTTCAGTTTTACATTCTCGAATATGTTAGATAAGGTTAGATCCAAAGTGAGTGGGTCTAGATTCAACCCTCCACCGCAACCTGCAAGGGTTTATTATGACTCATACCTATTCACACTCGATCAAATAAACCCAGCTTCTTAACGAAGCCAATTAGTTTGTATGGTGAGTGGTCGCTCAGGTTAGATGGTAAGAGTACGGCTCTGCCGAACTCTAAAAACCTGATTCGGACCCCAGCGAGGCAGGCACAAAGTATGGGCTCTGATGTTTCATCATTTTCCAAACAGAGCGACACACACTGTCTTCTGACAGTCCGAGTCTCTGCATATGATGATTCAAATGACAGTGACCTGTAAGAAGGCCTTATAGACATCGTATTTTATCCCTATTGTAGTCCAACAACTGTTTGGTATCAAGCTTCGAAGGGTGAATAAACGCCTTGTAGTGAGCCAATCCTGGAAGATTCTTGCCATCTAGGTGTTCAATCTTTCTTTGGCAAAGCCTAAAGCGATGCCAATAACAGGTTCTGCTCCGATGAAGCTGCTTACAGCACCCTCCTTTGCAAAGGAGTCAGCAGCCTCATTGCCTTCCAAGCCAGTATGGCCAGGAATCCAGACCAGAGTCAATCTGTTAAGTCTTCTTATCAAGGAGAGCCGTTTTTGACAATTTCCTACCAATTTAGACGTTGTTCGGTAGGAGCCAAGAGCTTCCAAAGCCGCTTGACTGTCCGAGAATATTTTTATTGACTTGTGTATGAGATTGGATTCTTCCAATCTCTCTGCACACAATTCAATAGCGTAGATTTTTGCTAGACATTCAGTCGCATAGGTTCTTAGGCAGGTTGATATCTCTGTCCTGGGTCTGCGACTGAAAACACCTGCACCAGAACCGGAAGGTGTTTTTGATCCATCTGTGAACCAACAACTATCTGCTCTTAATATTTCCTTCTCCCTTCTCGAATATACTCAGACTTGTTTTTGAGGGGCAGCTGAGTCCAACAATTGATTTGTAGTTCAGCCTACTACCGCTGATGGCAGATCGTAACAGTGATGCCTGGTTGTTGGAATAAGAATGCTTTGTTTTAGACCTCTGGTTTCAACTATTGGAAATGATCAAGAATATAAATCGGTGTTTCTTGAAGTTCTTAACAAATTTCGGATGTTATTTCGAAAATTTGCTATAATAATATACTAGCAAAAAGATTTTTGACTTTATTTCTCTAATATCTTCGAAACTAAGAAGTTATAGGAAATTTTATTATTTGTTTCTGGAATATTCATCTTTTCTGAGGAACTTTATGAGTTTTGAATTAGGAAAGAATAATTTAATTACAGTTTGAGGTCGGCATCAGCTCATTTTTCTTAAATAATTCCTATTTTTGATTTTACTCTTGATTTAACACCGCGAGCGTCGAAATAGGGGTTGGAGGGGAAAGTTTGAGTTTTTCTCAAACTCCTGGGATTTGTACATGGAAAACTCTACTGAAAATGTTAGTATTTTGTGATATTAACACATTTCGTGTTAATTTCGTGCATTTGATATGGTTAACCACAACTTACTTTTTCGTAAATTATACAGCATAGGAATTCGTGGTATACCACATGATTGGATAGTATCATATTTGACAAATCGTTCTCAAGTGACAGTAATAAATAATAGCAAATCTGACTGTAAGAGTGCTGAGTTAGGAGTGCTCCAGGGGTCTATATTGGGACCAACTCTTTTTATAATATTTTCAAATGACATCTACGATACCTGTACCAAACCAAATAGAATGATACTTTATGCTGATGACACAAATATACTCTTAGCCCATAAAACCTTGGGAAGTCTGGTAAACTTGGGTAATTATGCATGTGATGAATTCAGTAAATACTGTAGCGCCAATGACCTTGTCTGCAATATAAAGAAAACTATGTTCATCAATTTTTTATCTAAGAACGGTACTTCGAATCCAGATCTATTGAACAACATCAATATGTGTGGTGAAACTCTGGAATACTGCCAAGTAGCTAGATTTTTAGGAATACTCCTGGATCAAAAGCTAACATGGGAGGCACATATTGACATTTTATGTGTAAAGGTTGGCAGTGCAAACTATTCAATTCGGAATCTGCGAGACACTGTCTCTACAGAAGTTATAAAACTCATGTATCATGGACTGGTACAATCAAGAATACAGTATGGATTGATCTTCTGGGGTAACTCTGCATATACTGACCGCATTTTTAAGGTTCAGAAAAGAGTCATTCGCTGTATGGACAAGTCTCGTCCACTGGACTCTTGTAAACCACTGTTTAAAAAATTCAACATCCTACCATTGCCGTGCTTATACATATTACAGCTAGTGTTATTTATCTATGATAATAAACACCTATATCCAAAAAACTCTGATATACATAATTACGCTACTCGGGGTGAACATACTTTTTACCACCCCTACTCTCGCTTGAGTATGAGTCAAAATTCCCCAAAATATTAAATGTTTCAATAGAATAACAACTTTTATAGGGATCAATAAAAGTAGAACTGTAATGAGGAATGAACTATGATTTCTTGTTGGATAACTGCTTCTACAGTATGAATTAATTTCTTGCTTTTAGTGCTTAGATAAATGACTTAGTTTATTTTATACATGTAGTCTTCTCTTTTAAGTTTGTTCAAGATCAAACAGTTTTGTTTTGCTTTTAGCGTTTTACTTTTGACTAGTCCAATAAGTTTTCTCACGTATTTAGTCTTGTAATTATGTATGTGTGAAAATTTTAGTGATGAATAAAACTACTTCTATTTCTATTTCTATTCAGGTACTTGGTGTAGATTTTGTGGAACATAAAGAAAGTAATATACATTTATACAAAAATTACTCAATCATAGTTTTACCTATGTACAAGATTATTCTTTAACGAATATACTGTTTGTGTATGTGCTCATTTGTGTATATTAGTACATTTATATATTTACTCAACAATTTATTAATATTTATAGTTATTTTTTTTGCAAAAATATGTTTGTCGACAAGATGTATTTCTTATGACATTAAACATATACCTTCTATTTGTTGATCATCAAATTACCGAAACTCTAAAAAATAACAAAAAACTTCAATTTTAAATGAGCATTACTTTTGTATATTTTTATTCAATGTAAAACGTAGGATACGAAAATACAACTGACATTGACACTATTTACAATTTCTACAAATATAACAAATGAACTGTTTGTGTCGGAAACAACATACAGAGTCATAGAAGAATCATCCTAATCTTCCCCACTAATCTGGAACAAGTGTTAGCTACATATCATAATCCCAGAATTGAACGGGTAGTTGTCTCTCATACTAGGTCGTACTGGAGGATGGTGCAATCACAGGTACTTTGGTCTTTTTGGCATTTGATTTTGGATGATTATCTTCTGCTCTTGGAGGAATATTGAAGGGTTGACTTGATTGATTTGAATAATTTTCTGTTTTTGCAGGTAACCGAGGAACTTCAAAAGATTGACTTGGGCTGGATATAGTTCTTTCTGAACCGAGGATAATCAAGGAATGGAGTTTACCAAGCTTCTTTTCAACTTCCCGAAATCACCAAACATTTTTGTTGTTGATTAACATTCTGATCTGATCTCCCACTTGAAAAGAGCGTGACGGAGGAGTAACCACTTGAGAATCATAGGGAAAAATTGTATCTAATCAAATCCACATTTTTCAATGTAAATATAATTCTGGAGATTTGTCATAAAGCAAAGGTGTTGCTCTGTATCGCAAGAAGCAAATATACTCTTCAATAAAGAAATTGTAGTTGAATTTATAATCTTAAGTATATAGTGCTTCATAATGTAAACTGTCGTTTCAGATAATCACGATCAAATCAATATCCTAAATCTTGTCATAAAAACGAAATATAAGTGAGTTACCTGAGCATCCTCTAATTGAACATCTTTTCCTTGACTCTGAGACTCCCCAGCTATCTTCGCTTCATAATCTTTCTTCTTATCCTCAACACTAGCCAATTCATCCTCAAGTTTTTTAATGTCATTCATATGAGCTTCATGAGCTTTTCTGGCCTGTTCAAGAGTCTTTATTGCCCCATCTAGTTTTTTTTGCATATGAGTAACTCTCTCCTTGGCTTTGATGAACTGGGGTTTTTTTTTGGAGATCTCCACCTTAAAATATATACATTGGGTAATTTCGTTAAAAAACATTGGTACATAGATTCAAATTCAATGCAATATTTCATCAATCAACACGTTACCTCAACCTCACGTATATCCTGTTCTATTTTGGCAAGTTCTCTATTGTACTTTCCGTGCTCTTTCTTTTTTTCTTTTAGGGTGTCTTCAAGTTTTTCTTTTTTCTTCTCTATCTTATCAACTTCCTTTTGTTTAGATTTTAGGTCTTGTTCAAGGTTTTTCATTTCTCTTTCATTATGGAATAGTTTGAATAACTGATGTTCAACTAGTTTGTCATTCTGTAAGAAATATAAATCAATATCTTCTCGTTAGCACTTGAATTAATTAGGGAGTTTGACACACACACACATTCACAACTTATTTTCTTACCAAATCATCCTTTAGTCTAGCATATTTATCTGCTTCCTCTTTTTCAAGCCTAGCTTCTTTTTTTTCGGCATTTATTCCTTTCTTCTTTTGATAGGCAAAATTTATTTCTTCTTGAGCTTTCTGCATCTCTTGCTGCAGCCTCACATATTCTTCTTTCAGTGCTCCAGATCTATAATTTAAAAAAAGTTCAATACTGATTGTGACAAGCTTTAGTGATGAGGTAGATATTTACTAACCCACTGATTTCTTCAAAAAGAGCTGTCATTTCTTTTGGATTTTTCATTGCAACAGATTCAACTGCACCTTGAAAAACCAAAAAATTTTTTGCTTTAACATTTATCTTCAATTTTTCCAGTTCTGAGAGATATTCATTGGTGGACACAACCTAAAAAATATTGAATTTTGTAATTAATGCATTTTATTTTTGATATCTAATTCTGTACCTATGTATAGTAGAATCATTATAAAAACATTATAGGCCTTTAATATATGTGCAAGCCTAATCGACATTATGAACTCCAATAATGCCGCTCTGATATGCACACTTCATTTTTAATAGAGAGTAGATAAAAGTGTAATAGGAATGTTCACTTATTTTCAAAACTGATAATAATGAATAAATATTGGAGTACATGAAAACACAACTACAATAAAAATGTTGAAATTTTTCTTTTTGCAAAACTAATTTGAGGCTATAAAACAACTCCATACAGCGAAGCAACAGCTTGTGACGTTAACAGTGTTTACACATACAATAATTTTCAAAATCAACTGTTAGTACATCGGTGTACATTGATTGACATCTAATCATTTGCCAATTCATCGGTTACTCCATCGAGTCATTGACAACATGTTTGTATATCCATCACCAAAACCATTCGATGAACACCAGATCCATTTTGTCAAAACTTTTTATGTTTCTTATAGGCTCACTGCCAATCTGGTTCCATATCAAAAACATTGGTACTCTCACAGCTTTTTTAGGGTCTATATCTGCCACACTGCCACATTAATCAGCTTTTTCGTTGTCTATGATACGTGAGTGTACTGACAATCCATATAGAGTCAATATAGTCCTTTCAATAGTTTCTTCAGTTCTTAATGGCATTCCCATACTAGACTCAATACCAATCCGTTAGTGTATCTTGGTTCATATGGATGGACCATAAACTATGAATTGAAGTCTTTGAAAAGTCGAAAATTTAATAAGATTCTCCCCAAATTTATGTTTCTTAATCAACTTATCTACTAGATTTGGAGAATACCTGTTGCTTTTGGCTATGTCCCTGATAACATTTTTCTCAATAGCATGCCTTTCTTTACTCAAGGGGAATGTAATAACACTATTAACAAGAAAGTTTAGACATGCCATTTTGTGGTGTCATTTTGGGAATCTGTTATTAAGAGTTGACACCAAGTCCTCAGACCAATTGTCTCTGCCATTGAAAGGGTTTGTTCGTGCGGCTTGCAAAAAAACAAAGTTCCAATAAGAAAAAAGAAATGAAAACTTTTATGTTTTTTGCCACTTCTATTTGTAACTAACGTTACTGCAGTTTCGTCCTATATATGGAATGTAATGAATCATTGTTAGTTTACTGTATAAGTTTGAAAATGTCCGTATAGGACGAAACTGCAGTAACGTTAGTTACAAATAAAAGTGTTGAAAAACATAGACATTTTGATTTCTCTTTTCATTATGATTTCCTACCACGTAGTAACGGCTACATCCACCAATTTATTGAAATTTCCAATAACTTGTGAAAAAGATTAATGATTAATGTACAAAAGAATGAAAAAAAAAATCAAAATATTTAAGGAGAAAGATGTTTTCTATTGGAAGCAAAGGCAATGAAGTTGTGATATTGAACAAGTCTGTTTACTTTGAGAAAATTGATAATTTAATTGAGAACGTTCTCTATAATGAACCACCAAGGAACCCATTGATGGTTTCTCTACTTATAAAATTGCTAAAGGCTAACCAAACAGTTTGAAACTCTCTCAATCTCACAATTGAGTTTGAATTTTTATCAACCATCTTTGGGTATTTTTACCTTCCACAATCTGAAAAATATGAAAATTATAATGGAAATGGCAAACTTTTTAGTTCACCCCGATGAGTTACTGTTCACAAAGAAAAATGTTCTATTTATCAGTAACTTGTATTCAATAGTTCTACCTATCACAAAAAAAGAGAGCCTAGAAATTATACATAACTTGAATTGAAGGGGTTATATTTTTAGGAGAGAAAGTTTTTGGCTTTCTACTACTCCATCTTGATACAAAAAAAAGGATGAGGGAATCTTCCAAAAAAAAGGAACGAAGTATAATCAATTTGAAAATAAGTAACTCTATACATGGATGTGTACATCATGCAAAGAAGTAACTTTCAGACACAAACTGAAAGAAAGTCCTCCTGAACCAGCTACTTTCATATAAACATTGAATTACACCAAAGAAAAAAATTCTTTCGAAACAAATACATCTATATGAACACTGAATTATACAGAAGATACTTTTCTCTACTCAGTTTGTATTTCAAATATTCGTTGTGGAATAAAAATCAGATATAATTCACATGATATTATTCAGATATTATTCCATGATATTATTAAGGATTCTCTGATCCATTTTTTTCAAAAATTGCCGAGCACGTAAAACATTTGTAACTTTTATGCATCTCACCAACAAACTAAAAACGCAAAACATCTGAAACTGTGAACATATCTTCGAGACGAGTGTACTAACATAAAAAATATTTAAAAATCGCTAATCGAATGTACATAGCTCGCGAAATTTGAATATTAACTTTTTATTTTAACGGATCTTGTATCTTCCTTGTTCCGAAGTTTCTCTATACCAAAACCCATTCAATATTTATTCAATTAACACTTCATTGTTAGATTTTCACTAGACAATTTACAATATCTTTTTCGAGCGTTTTCATACTGAAAATGTTGAATATGAAAACGCCTGATAAAGCTATTGTATAGCGAAACACATGTTGCAGTTTTGTAAACTGTTTAGTGGAAATCTTACAATACAATGTTACTTTGATAAGTTATAGATGTTCATCAAGTATCAGTCAATTTCATCACATATTCAAAATTTGAGTAATTTTCTGGAGGTCAATGGCTTCGGTGGAGAAGTAATTTTAATAACATTCTCAATAACATATCACCCAATATTGAGTTTACATATGGAATGAAAACAACGAGGAGTTACTATCCTTGGATGTCTTCAGAAGAAAACAGTTTTCTTTATCTCCTGAAAACGCCAACTTGGTTGGTGAAACGCGCGTCAGGAAGACTTATCGTATTTCTGGTAATTGGGAAAAGTGCTTGTTTTTGGATTTATTCTACGCCAGAAGTTTCAGTTTTACCTCCGGATGATGAATTTAAATCTGCATTTTTGCTGTTTTTCATTTATGGCAACTTTAGGACCAATTAAAACTTTTCTTTGTTTTCACAAATAAATTGATTCACCACGACAAATAGCTGACTAAGCTCAAAATTTGATTTATTGAGATTAAAGTATATTGTGGCTTGTATAGTATGTAGTTGTATAGGTAATTTTCACAGCTTTACCACTCAGATCTCTATTTTATGGATAATAAAGCATTCTATCATTATATCACACAAATTACTAGTGTAAAATGAAAAACCATCCAAATACTTACGTTTCCATTGATTCTATACTCAGAAGAAGACCCTTGTACAGAACGTTGGAATGCAATTTCTTTCCCATCATCAAGCAAAAACACCGCAGCAACAGAAGCACTGAAAAATTATCACTTTACAAAATGTTTAAACTGCATGTTTTTTAAAGATTAATATTAAAGCCTCAGATGTCTACAGCATATTTGGTAAGGTCAACTATGAGCATGAAAATAAAGCTATATTTCAGTAGAACATTTTTCATGTAGCCCAAGTATTTGTGACCCCTGATCACAAATCTGAAGTTAAAATTTGGCAGTCAGACCTACTTATACGGGTTGGCTGTTCTTGTTCATCTTTCACTGCCTGAACCACTGTGCATGATGTTTTCGGCAAGTGCTTTGGCGTGGGATGTGGGGGTTGAGCAAACCGGCCATCGAATGCCTGCTTCCACGTACGCTGGATACGGGAATGACAGAATCACGTGTGGTTCTGTTATTCCCTAACTGAATAGCATCCCAACGATGGCTTAATCCTAAGGTGTGTGTATTCGTGCCGAGAGGATGAATGACACTGAGCCTATCAGCTGTCTCTAACAGAACCTTCGAGATACCGGGCGCCCTCTCGTCGTAGCATCGCCTTGTGACGATAATGTGGGGCTCTGCCGTGATTGACCTTCTTTCCCTAGCTACTCGTGAGACTTTTATGGACAGAGTAAATTTTAATTTTTTTTCTGACGCTGAGTCTACAGAGGAGATGGATGTCGAGCTTACGACTCCAACTGACTTCCCTGTAAGTTTAGATAAGGAGCGAGAGCTTCTCAACTCTCCAAACCCTGATTCAAAAACTGAACCTAGGAAAAAGTTTAGTGGTGCAGCCAGGAAACGACTGAGTCGTCTCCTCAAGAGCGGAGTACCTTGGTTCTTGAGCGGCGTACTGCAACCGTGGGAGGGCGTTTCCCTAAATTGCGTCACAGGAGACCAACTTCCGAAGCCACACATCTGTGTTGCTTACCTACCTGACGGAGGCAGTAACAGACTGACCTCCGAACAGGTCCTCACTAGATTGAGGAAAATGAACCATGGTCTGTCAAACTTGGAGTGGACGATCCTCCACAAGGAAAAGTCACATGGACCTTCGCTGTAGACGATGGATCCATGGCCGTGCTGGCGAGGACGGGTTTCAGACCACATTTTGGTTTTGGGCAGGTCTTATTCCGCCCTAAAACCCGGGCACCCTCCCAGCAGGAAACTACCCAAACGAGTCACATTAGTGTTCAACCACCGGTTCACACCCAGCCCAAGGCCGGGAAAACAGGTGTTTCTCAGGAGACGAAGACGGCCAACGTCTCGTCGAGTAAACCGGGAAAAAAGCTGGACGTGGCTCTCTGAAAGCGAAGACGAAAATCGTCTCGTCAAAGAGAGCCAATAAATAAGCAGGCAACTCAGAGACAGCAGGTGTCCTCACCTCATCATCTGAGCCTACCCTCGATCTCGGGAGAGGGTGGAGGTTTCCTTAAGGACCCCTCATCTTCTTCCTCGTAGGACGAGGAGTTCTAAGTTTGCGGCAACACTTGTTATCTTCAAGTGTTTGCAGGCAAACTTACAACATGCCAAGGCCGCTTCATACGTCCTTGGAAAAAACTTCAAGGATGAATTAATCGACCTTGCCTTCCTGCAGGAACCATGGACAGGAAATACAGGCCGAGTAACCGGACTGAGCAATCAAAATCCAATCAAATCAAAATATACTTTATTGTCAGAAGATTTTGTATCCCATCGACAAAGCTTTGTAGGTATAAATATAAGCATAACTAATGGTGTATAGATAAAAACTGGCAATTAATAAAGGTTTGAATAAAACAGGTACAAATACAATAAAAATAAATATAAAATGGAATACACTTTTAAAATGATTCATTAAAATACTCTTGCAAGCTATAATAGGGTCTATCAGCTAGCAAATTTCTAACTGCTTTCTTGAATTGTACGTTGGTCAGATTTGGAGACCTTATATCTACTGGTAAGTGATTGAATAATTTTCCAGCATTATAAAAAATGGAATCCTTGATTAATGTTGAGTTAGGTATAGGAAGTCTTATATTAAATATGCTATTACGAGTAGCATAAGGAGAAAAGACAAAATCAAACTCCGTTTTATGTTTGTGCACCAAACATACAGTTTCAAGAATGAACAGTGCAACGACGGTAAAAATCTCATTGGCCGCAAAATAATTTCTGCATGACTCCCTAGGTTTGACTTTACAGATATATCTAACTGCCCTTTTCTGTAATATCAACACAGATGAGCATGTTCCCCAAAATGGTATTCCATTTCTTATTTGGGATTCAATTAAAGCGTAGTAAACTGTTTTTGCTGTGTGAAAACCCAGCTCGTTAAAAACCACCCTCACTGCATAACATCCGGAGGAGATTTTACTCTTGAGTTGCCTGACGTGTTCATCAAATTTGAGCCTATTATCAATAGACACCAAGAAATTTTGTATTCAATTTGTTTTCCAAGATATCATTGTCTATTGACAGTTCATTTAGCAGACATTTAAATGTTATTATATTTGTTTTGGAGATATTCAAGGATAAAATTATTATTATTATTATTATTATCGACTATAACTCTCACTAATATTGTTGGGAGACATTCCCAGTCAACTGCCCTCATATATGCGATTCACAAATAAATAATTTGAGTAAAAAATATTGCAATCGTTTAGGTTGGCATAGTAAAGGCCAAAACATTTCTCTATCTAGACAAGATGTTAGTGATATGAACTCATTTGCTACTAAAGTGCCCCTCTTTCAATTCGACAGCCATTACCATGAAAAACTCATCCTACGTGGACGATATTATGACAAACTGTTATTCTATTCAATAAGGTCAGGTTCTGGAATATTAGTACATTTTCTGCTGGTTTCTCCAGAAGATGCAATAAACTGTAAATATCTTGATTTTGACAATTCCTTTAATGTCAAAGTATTGGGTTTACAAAATTCCTCTCTAGACTCATTCTCTTTTAGTATTCTCTCACAAAACCTACTGATCTCCTTTCATTCGTTTTGAATATGTTCAAGAAACAAATTTCTGTAAATAATATATTTGCTTGGTGTGATTCATTAACAACTATTTGTTGGATTCCTTCATCTCCGCATAGATGAAAGACATTTGTAAGTAAGCACGTTAGTCGTATCCAAGAAAAATTGGTGTTCTTTCTTGATTCCTTCCAAATTAAGCCCAGAGTGTTGAATTGAAGAAAAAAAGATTCGTTCTCATAATTCAACCCAAAGGCAATTTTCTAGATAATTTATTGAAAAACTGTTCTTGTTTCTTCAAAAAACAATGAATTCCAGGACATATTTATCGGTTTATTAAACAGGTAGAGCGCCTTATCCTCAAAGGAATTGTTACCATCTCACATTTAATGAAACTCATCAAGCTACCCTCTCACTTATTAAACATATTCAGACACAAATATAATATTCAGTTTAGAAATTTCGTTTTTTCTTGGTGGTAAGTAACTAAATGAAGCTTTTCGAAGATTGAATTTAGTTATTGACACTAAAGTCTGTTAAGGGTTGTAGGTGGTAGACTTATTCACTCTCAACTCTTCTACGATAAATGTAATCCTGTATTATTGCCTAGCCAACATAGAATTTTTTATTTAATTACAGAAAATACGCACTGACAATATCTTCAACACATATTTCAAATTCTTCATTTTCTTCTGCTACAAAGATATTGGATAGTATCAGCTAAACACGCAATTCGTAAGATCATTTCTAAGTGTCTTTTCTGTTGACAACAGCTCAGAGCCCAATGACCTTACTCAGTAGCCTGGACCCCTGAATTCACTTTTTTGATGAAGATGTTTTTCACTTAGAACTAAATAGATTAACTCGTTGGCAATCAGTACAGCATTTTCATCAAGACTTCTGGTCTTGCTGAAGTAGAGAGTACCTCCACACTTTATGCCAACAAGGAAACTTGACAGAGTCTTCTGTTAGCATAAAAGTAGGTTCAGTGGTGTTGATAAAAAATTATTCACTTCCTTCATCTCATGGACAACTTGGCCGTTTATTCGCCGTTCATCCCGGTACTGATGGTGTGATGCAGATTGTCACATCAAAAACCCCTCATGGGCTACTAAAAAGGTCAGTGGTGAAGTTATAACTTTCACCATTAGACGAGCCGCACTAAATAAAATAACTTAGTATTTAAGGTGGGCGGTATATGTCATCCCCTCCTTTTGTTTTTTGTACATACATAATTATTTATTTATAGGTAGTTAAATGTGTTTGTGTAATGATATGTAATGATAATCCTTTTCCCAAAACTTTTCACCCCATCCTGTATTCACAGTCATATCGCACGGATATGACTGTGAATTCTCTAAATAGAGAAATGTAGAAGTAAAGTGAACACTCCAAGAGTCGATTCATGGACAAGAAAGAAATAGCTCACAGCTAACTCAAAAATAATTAATTTATGTTGTCTCTGGGATCTCCATATCACTGTCTCTTTTATCTCCTTCTCTCCTCAAATTGATTTAATCACAGAACAAAACGATTGATAGCTAATTTTTATTATCAGCAGCCGCATATACAATTAATTATTTTATCAAAAATTGAACACAGTTGGTTAAAATTATATTATGTATACCAGTATAAGTCCGAACATGTATGAATGAAATCTAAATACTAACTGGAAACATCATGAAATTCAATTCTCTACACGACAACCAGAAGAGATTTTCAGTGCAACACTTTGTTTAGGAAAAATCATCATCAACGTTTTTACATGGCCTATGAAAAAGTATACCCTGTATTGAAAAACATTTTTATTACAAATGTTTTCCACCATACATCAACAGTATTTTTCTCTGAAAGATGATAAATCAATTGAAAGGGTTATAGTTTTTGGCTTTCTACTCCTCCTTCTTGATACAAAAAAAAGTGAGAATCTTCCAAAGAGAGAAAGGAAGCAATCAATTAAAAAAAGTAACTTTATACAAATATGTCTGTCTGTTTAAAATCTGTTTAAAATCTGTTTTTCCGTTAACCAGCTGTCGCACCCCTACGAATGACAACCCTCAGAAGTCGAAACTTGTG